AAGGGAAAAAGGAAAAGAACCTATATGTTATATGTTCTAAAATGTTTATAGCAGCTCTCTTTGTGGTGGCAAGGAACTGGAAACTGCTGGGATGCCAATTAACTGGGGAATGGATGCACAAGTTGTGGTATGATTGTGATGGAATGCTACTGTACTATAATGATGAGTTCAATGATTTTAGAAAAGCATGGAAGTACTTGCATGAAATAATGAAGAGTGAATGAGCAGAACCAAGAGAATATTGTAAACAGTAACAGCAATATTGTTTTAAGAATGACTTTGAGCAAATAAGTTATTTTGTCTATTATAAATACCATGTTAACTATAACGGACATATGAAGAAAGATGCTATCTGCATCCAGAGAAAGAACTGATAAATGAAAGTATGTAGACAATAATTTTACATATATATATCTATTTATGTCTAATGATAGCCATAGGGGGAGGGAGAAAGAGAAAAAAAGAAATTTATAAGATAATTTTGTTGTATATTTGAAAGGAATAGCCAAGTTGTGCATAGTAGATTTGCAGTTTCATGTGCAATCATCTTTTTTATTATACTATGTTACAGAAATGCTGGTTTTATTCCAAAAATTAAAGATAAAATAAATTAAAAAAAAAAAAAAGGATGTTCATTTGGCTGTCTCTCATAAACCAAAAGACTCCTCCCTTCCTGGAGGCCTCTTGATGCTTATATACTCTTGGAAGAGTGGGTGTTCTTAACAAGAGGCAATCAACTTGGACTGGTTAACAACTAATGAGAGAATGAATATTATAATGAGGCAGACTTATTCTAATGAGGGACTGGGGGATCTGACTGGGGCGATTTAGACAAAAGATTCAAAGCCTGAATAGAACACAATGGGCTGGAATTCAACTAGATTAGATTCTTTAGACTCTTTAATCAGAAGTAATCGTCAGTAGCTGGTTGGCGTCTGAAGAAAAGTGAGGAGAATGTTTAAAATGATCTTCCCAATAGTAATTGGTTATTAATATGAGAGAACTAATCATTTCTCTCAGCCCTATCCTCTAGACTACCTGTGTTGCTTTTTGCCTTGACCCCACAGTCACCATAATACAAATACCACTGAATGACAGTTAAGCCCAAGAGCCCTTGAAATAGTAGAGTCCCAGTTGGCCCTCCCGGCTTCCAGCCCAGGCCTTAAAGCGATGGTACAGAGGACCAGCCCTTTGAGTGAACTCATTCCCAGGTAGTCACTGCTATGCAAGTGCTGTAGCCCCTATTTCTTCAACAGTCAAAAGCTACTAAAAGAAAATTCTCACCACCAAAGTCCTTGGCATTGTCAAATGTGGATAGTTTTATCAATGGAAACAATACTAAAAAAGATAAACTACAATCTGCTTTGCTACTGTACGATAAGAAGTACTGGCCCTTTCCATCTGACTTGCAGTTGAAATCTTCAATGTGTTATCTCTCCTAATTAGAATGAGTACTTTGAAAATATCTTACTATATTACTTTTCGATTTGTATCCCTAGCATTTAGTATAGTGCTTGGCACATATTAAGTATTTTAAAAAGTTTTTTCATTGATTCACTGACTTACTCAATCACTCCTAGGTTCACAATACTTTGGAATAGCCTAGGAACAGAATGAGACTAGAGACTATGAATGGATTTAGAGCTGTGACTAGGTTGCTAGTAAATATATACATATACATATACATCTACATCTACATATACATACATATATATATACATGCAGCATATTATGGAGTAAGCAAGAATGAAAAGTTCTATGATCAGATGTTTCATAGAGCACATTTGAAATCACAGGCATGAGTTCTGTACTGGTTGCTGCTTTATGGTACTGTTTGGTGAAGATGACAGGTGAGGATAAGGAATATGAGACTGAATGAGGAAGGCAACATCATAAAGGTAAGCAAGATTTTGGCTGATACAGGGAAGTAAAAGGAATGCTGGTTGAAAAACTCTGGGAATTATTTTGTTAAGAACAAAGTACAGGTTGTAAAGGACAGATGGATGCACTAACAGATGAAGAGGGGTAAATATAGTTATCATGAGGGCTAGAGGTACAGCAGCCCCAAAATCTAAATTATACAATACTATACATATATTTTCTGCATTTCTGAGTTTCTAAATTTTTTCTGTAGAGGTAGAGCCGAGATGGTGAAGTAAAGGCCCATACAGCCAGTTTTTGGTCCCTTCCTGCCCAAGGCTGGAATGTGCTCTAATGCTCTCCTGCTCTTGAGAGTAGGGAAGATCCTTTAGGAGGCCAGGGACCATCTGTATCCTCATGGGTGTCAGAGATTGGCGTCTGCTCCCATCCGAAATAGGACTCTGCTTTCCATGTTAAGAAGCAGGGGTAGGGGGTGAGGGGCAGTGGTCTTTACTGTTTATCCTGCCCTAAGGTTCATCCACCAGCATTTTTTTAAACAACTAGTTCTGGAATCCAGTTCTTTTTCAGTGCCTCCCTGCAAGTGAGGCTTCCTTCTCCTCTTCCCCACCCTTCCACTTTAGGCATGGCGGAGGATTATTTCTCATTGCTCTTCTGGAAGAAGAGAAGCAAAAAAACACTAGTGCTAAAAGAATACACGATCTCTATACATCACAAGTCTCCCAGAAGAACATAACAAATCAAAAAACCTAAACATTGTAATTCAAGAAATAATCCCAGAAAACTTCCCAGAATTTCTGAATGCAAAAAATAAAACACCAATTAAAACAATCCACAGATCACCTTCAGAAGGTTATAAGATTATATAGAAGATTATAAGATTAGCTGGACCAGAAAAAGAGTAGACATAGAGAAGGTCTATGCTGGAACTGACACAATTTTTCCAGGTGGTACAGGAGCAATTTTCAAGATATTTGAAATAGGGAGATATCAAATGTCCCAGGGAAAAAATCATGCATGTTTTCACTATCAAATGAAGCAATCAGTAACTGTTAACCCAGGTGCCTATTTTAAAACAGATTCACTGTGTCATATGCTAACTTTTTTGTTTTTGTTTTTTTTTTACAAGGAAACTCATGTTTGTTGGTGCTTTTCAAGTTCATTAAAAAAATAAAAACAAACAAAAAAAATCAGTCTTCCCCCCTTAAGTCTTTAAGGAAAGACAAAAACTAACTATTTCTTGGCTAAGCCTCTGGTGAAGAGCCACTCCCCATTTAATTAGTCTGGTCCAGGAAGAAAAACATTTAGGCAGTTCCTGAAGCCTTTTCAGCTTGGTAAGACTTATTCTAACTTTGAGGACCCAGTCTTATATTCTGCCATAATGAAAGCATCAGATTTGAATTTTAATGGAAGGTTAGGTAGGATTATTACTATTTTATAATAAAACTATCAGTTTTCTTCAAATATGTGATAAATGTTGGACATTTAATTTTGACCTAGAATCAGAATTCCCCCCAAATAAAGCAGATGAAAATTTATAAGTCAATTAAGAGCAATGATTCAAAAAATGGAAATTCATTTGATAATTCATTTCTTTTGAGCTACTCCATTAAAATCAGAAGAATTTGTATGAAGAAATTCAAAAATTTGAATTTTAAAATATTTTTCATTAATAAGCAAAATGACAAAGCTAGAAAAGACACTTTAAAGTTACCAAAGTGGGAAGTGAACTGAAGTCTAATATTTCTGAAATTTCCACAATTCATTACACTCAAATTTTCATATGAGTACTCATCCACATTTACTTGAGAAAATTCTAACGAAATACAAAAGCAAAACTTTCAAATGGTAACTTAGGACTTTGTACTAAGTTTGCAAACTTTTCAGATTACTATAAAGAGATACCCAAGCATAATCTCTAAGTTTTTAGTGATTCTTAAAATGTTATAGTATAAGTAAATTTATATTTCAAATTTTTTATAGTATGTATAATTCCATTTATGATAAAAACATCATTTAAACAATGTCATAAACAAAAAGTACCCTCTTCCAATCTTTATGGTTACATAATCATATTTTTATATGATCATAATTTAAGTATTCAAAAGTTCTACTTTTTTCCATTGCATAACTTTATATTTCCAATATTTTTTATTTTAACAGCAATATACTACTTTATTGAAATAACATGCTATAGTTTATTTAGCCATTTCCTTATTGGGAATTTAGGTTGTTTCCAGTTTTTTGTTGTAATAGCTGAACATTTTTTTTACACTAGTGAAATATTTAACTCTTTTGAATTATTTCCTTTGGGCACATTCTTATAGCGGATTTATTATATCAAAGATATAATCTGTTTGGTAATTTATTTATGTATTTCATTCCTCTCTGGGCCCTTGCTGGATTTCTTTCTCCACCATATCTCTGCACAGAGACCTCTCCTTTACCCTTTCACTCCCACTTTTCAGTCTTTCCTTTTATGTGTGGCCTTCCCTATTAGAATGCAAGCTCCTTGAGGATAAAGGCTATCTTTATTTTTGTGCTTAGCGTACTATATCCCCAGAGCTTAGCTTTTTGTCTAGCACATAGTAAACACTTGATAAATGCCTGTTAATTTGGTATGTATGATAGTATCAGGCTGTATCCAAAAACACTGCACCATGCTTGTTAATTTGAGATGTATGATAGTATCAGGCTATATCCAAAAACACTGTACCAATTTACATAACTATCAGGAATATATGGGGCAAGAGCTTACTAGTTTTACTACAGGCCCACTAACTTTGGATTTTATCATTTATATTTATTTCTGCCAAATAAATGGGTGGGAAGTACTACATAGTTTGTCGTTTAACTGCTTATTTAATATACATTAATTTTGGTTCTCAGCTATAGCACAATGAGTTTCTTAAAGGCAGAGGCAATGTTTTAATATTTCTTTTCTATTTAACAAATATTGAGTAGGGTACAGCACAGAGTAAGCTCACTACTTTACACTGACTGATGCCATTTATAGCTACTAGTGTAACATCTGATCTTACTTTACTAAAATAGGAAATATATTCATTTTACTAGTAAGGCATATCTAAATGATGAAAAATGATTCTTTTACCTGGTTGGAACAAAATCTTGCAGCCAAAAATAGGAAATTAGCGTTGATAATATTATAGACAAAGATGTTGCAAATCCTTTTAAAATATTATCCGCATACTTAATAACAGCAGCTATGACAAGGCCTCCAAGTGCCTGCAAAAGGTCAAAAAAAGGTTACTTTTAGAGATAAACAAGTGATTTCACCCTTGCAAACAACTCCAAAAATAAAGGAACTCTCTCAACTTCTCTATTTTTAACAAAATATAAATTTTAGGATTGATAGTTACAGGATTTAAAAACCCATAACAGAAGATTAAATTTTTTAAAAAAATCTCTTTAGAAACAATAAGATTCCAATCAACAGACAACCTCTTTCAAACAATATATGATACAATTGGTTTGCAATTTTTTCAATAAATATCTTAAAGACCATATAGAGACACATTACTGTAGGGGCTACAATGCACGAAGAAAACTGCCTTGGAGTTTGGAAACTCTGAACTCCTGCCTCACACATTTATAAGCCGTACAATTTTGGGGAAGTCATTTAATCTCTCTCTGTAAAATGGAGATCTTAATGGCAGTTACAGGATTGGTGTCAGGATTAAAGTAAATAATATATGTGAAGAGCTTAGCAGACAAACTTTAAAGAAAAATATAAACATTAACTGCTATTATTATTACAACAGAAAAAGCCCTAGATTTTGAGACAGAGAACCCAGGTTCAAATCATAGGTCAGTCACTTATGATCTTCTATACCTTGGGCAAGTCATTGATCCTCAGTGAGTTACTTAGTTCAGTTATCTCTAAAACAAGTGGGACTGAAGAACTAGATGATATTTAAGGCTGCTTCCAACTCTAAATCTCTGATGTTAATGATAAAAGAAAACTTCTGGGCAATAGCTGATGGCAGTTCTTTGTACTAGAACTTTAGCAATATTTTGAACAGAATTTTTATTTTCATTCATTAGTCAACAAAGCCTACCTAATTTGTATTACCTAGGGGATAGGAAAAATCCACACTGTGAATTATTTTAAAACAATTAGTTTATCTATTTACCTACAATCAAGAACATTCATTAATATGTTGTCCTTTGTAAATAGTAAATACTGCTGACTTAACGGTGGTTATTTTTTCCAGTAGTAATTAAAGAACTTCTGCAGATTCATACATACTCTTGTACCCAATTTCCCTGTTAATCATTTCTATTAATTTGTACATAGAATCTACAACATGGTTCTCAATAGCATGGTGCTCTCACTAATCAAGTGGGGTTACCAGTCACAGACTTAGAAATAGATATAAAACAAATATAGCCCAAGATGCTTAGTATAATGTGTTTATCTAATAGGCTAGCAGGACCTAACCACCTGAAATTTCTGACTATATGGCCAAACTCCGGCCAAATAATTCAATCTATCTGGCTCTGTAAAAACATATTCTTTGATAAAACTGCTGAAATCAAAATTCATGAAGCTGGTACATATAGATTTCTGTTCATAGGGTCCCTACTGAAAAAAAAAAAACATAGACACTTTAATACAGATACATATAACTTGATTAACAAAATATTTCTAGTGGAGGTTCAAAGGGAAGATGATCAACACTTAGAAATCTGTCTTCCCCTCTGGCTCTAATGCATACTCCAAGTAACCCATGATCCTCTAATTACCAAATACAATACCATTCACTCTTACACTCTTTGATAATGTGTCATATTGTCTACTGGAAACTCTTATCTTTTTAAAAAACGTTCTTTTCTATTAATAATGTATTCATACCTTATTGATTACAATGTAATCAACAAATACAATGTCCCAATTTTTTAAGTGTCTATTAAATTTAACTAGATAATAAAATTTCCCTGTTTAGGTCCCCTTCTAAACTTGTTTTCTTCTCTGTATTTTTTTTTTCTTATTTTCTTTTTTCATCTCTGCCACCTCCCACTAACTCTTTCACCTTTCTTTGACGAAGCCCTCCAATGTGACAAAAAAGCATAATGCAGCAAAACAAATCAACTCATTAGCCGTATCTGAAAACGTGTGCCTCACCTCCAGGCTGTCACTTCTTTGCCAAGAAGCAAGAAGCATGCCTCGACATTGAGTTTTCTGAAGTCATGACTAGTCTGAAATTTTTCTCTATTGTTTTCTAAGTTACTATTCTTTCTTGGTTCTCTTCCTACCTCTGTAACTGATTCTTTTCCATCCTCATTTATTCAACCATCATAATTATCTTCTGAGTTCTCTTGTTTCTTTTTATATTTCTAAATATCCTCATTCTGTTGTTTTTGTTCAGTTGTTTCAGTTGTATCCAACTCTTTGTAACCCCATTTGGGGTATTCTTGGCAAAGATACTAGAGTGGTTTGCCATTTCTTTCTCCAGTTCATTTTACAGATGAGGAAACCGAGGCAAACAAGGTTAAGTGACTTGCTCAGTGTCATAAAACTAGTATCTTGACGCCAGATTTGAACTCAGGTCTTCCTGACTCCAGACCCAGCATCAATCCACTTTGCCATCTAGCTGCCCCTTATTCTGTAGCATTATGAAATAGTCCAATGTTGGGCCTATTTTCAACTAAATGTCTTTCCTGGGATCATCATCCAATAAGAATAAGCCATAGGCAGAAGTTTGTTTAATTTGTGCCCCATGTAGCTGGCTCCCAAAAAGGCTTGATAAACATCATACACAGCTGGGTGGTTCAAATTACATGGTTTTTCTCCACACTGCAAGAGCAGACAAAAATCTTTAATAACAGTCACAATTTTTTTCAGTGCTCTGAAGACTTCCTCTTGGAACTGCTATGTTTCTAATTTCATTTCAAGAGTGAAATTCCCTGAAAGTATCTTTAAAGCACTTAGAAAGACTCCAGGAGTCATGAAAGAGTTTTCAACAAATTAGTCCAGAAATCTGTGACAGGCATTAAAGAAGCTATGCCCTCTAGGAACTAGCAAACAAATCCAGATGTTCTCTTACTGAAGGACACTGGGCTATGAAATGAAAAATTACAAGGGCCATAGAAAGTTTCCTTACCTCCCACAAAATATTTTTTACTTGATTTCTGATGCCTCATCCACTCTCAAGGTTGTAGCTGTCACTTTTATATAAATGACTACCCCCCACCAAAAAAAAGAAAACTAAAGCCCTGTGATGAGGATCTGTATTTCCATTCTTTACCTATTAAATATTCCTACTATAAGTCCTGCTTAGACCTCAAACTCATTGGATCCAAAATTGACCTCATTATCTCTCTGAAACTACCTCCTCTTCCTATTTCTGTAAACAGCATTATCATTATTTCAAAATAGGTAATGTATTTAAGATTCTTTGCAAACATTAAAGCAGTATATAAATACCAGTTGTTCTTATTCCAGCAATCCAGACTACAAACTTAAATGCCATCTCTGACTCTCTCCTTACATATAGTTAATCAACAGAGTCCTATCTATTCTCTCTCTGCAGTGCCTCTTTCTTGCCATTTGTAATGACACTATCTTTATGTCACCTGGCATTAGCCTCCTAATTCTTCCTCTACTGTACCCTACAGTTCTGATGCCAAATTTCCTTAAGCACAGCTCTCTTTTGTTCAAAAAATCCCAATGGCTCTAGAATACAATGGAAATTCCTAAATTTAATCCTAAATTCTATATGCGGGCTAACTTCAACCTCTTTCCAGCCTTATAATCCACTAATTTTGAATCCAAATCCCACCACTGAAACTTCCTAGCTAAGGGACCACAGGCAAGGGGCAACCTCTTTGAGCTTTAGTTTCCTCATCTATAAAATGGGAATAATAATACCTGTAGAATTATCTCACAGAGGTGGCTAGAAGGAATAGAAAATGTCTGTAAAGCACTGTGCAATCCTTAAAGTGAAATATAAATTTCTATATTATTGTTGTTGTTGTTGTTGTTATAGCATGCTTCCTCGCAATACCTTCCTACAGGCCTCTCTAATTCTCATCAATCCCAAAATAGAAGTGATTGCTTCCTTCTGAGGTTCCAAATCATTCTACAGGACTTAACACATTCCATGTGAGATTATAACTACTTGTGTACATTTCATCTCCCCTACTAGATTATAAGCTTCTTGAGGAAAGGGATGATGTCTTCCTCATTTCCGTATTTCCCACAACACATAACAATGGTTTGCACCTTGCTGGCCTCAATAAGTATCTTCTGAATGAATAAACAGTTACACTGTAGTGGAAAGACCTTTGGAGATCAGAGTAAGAACACTTTGGTTCTGTTGCTCCTCTCAGCAGAGGGGCAGCAGACCACATGTGGAGAATGATGAACACGCTGTCAGGCAACTGATGGGACAATTTCCTTTGCTTTGCTGAACTATGTAACACTTATTTGTTACACAGGGTAAGTTATTGGGAAATTTGGTGATTTAAAAAAACTTTCATTCTATTCCCACCACCACCACTTATCGGCTATGTCATCTTAAACAAAGCACTTAACCTGAGTCTCAATATCTTCATCTGTAAAATGGATTCAATGTTATTTTTAACACCTACTTCAAAGGATTGCTGTAAAGATCAAATAAGATAATGCATGTAAAGAGTTTATGTAAATGTAATCATTAATAATAATTAAGACTTGAACATCTTCAGCTATTCAGGCAGATATATAGCTATATAATTATATGTATATATACATTATTTGATACAGACAAGAATACACAGCTATACAATGCGATAGCATGAAGCTTTAAATACATCCTAGGTTTGAATATCAACATGGGTCCCCCATGAGCTTCAAAGTAGGGACCACTATTCTGTAACTTATTAAGACTTGTTACAAAGTAAAAAAAAAAAAAATTATACTGGGCATGTCTACGGCTATACCACAATCAGTTTGTAAGCTTGTATTTTCATCATGGTACACACACACACCCCAAAGGAAAAAAATCCATTCAGAACTTGACTTAAAATAAAATCTTCCCAAGAAGGAACTGCATATTCTGCATGAAATACTGGGTGCTATGTTACTACATCTGCTCAATGTGTACAGTTTATGACAGAATGTTCTGGGTATATTAGGCATATGAAGTTCATGGTAATTCCCAATTCCAAGGGATGTTAATTATTGATGTTATGTTATTCTTTGAAGGCTGGATCTTTAATTTTAAAACAGAAACAAAGAGATTTAACATACAGCTGTATTATAAGTGGGAGGTATGATTTCTTTCATTTTTAAACTTCCCAGTCTTGGTCAGAACTTTATTATAAGTTATCCTACTGAAATATTTATGAAATGCCATTCTTGTCAAGATCAATTTCTATCTATACTAAAATATATTTTTGATGGTGAAACTGAACTGAAACTTGGATGTGAAACTGATAGAGCTATTCAGTTCAGGAAATAGAAAGTTTCTTTATGATTTTCTCCAGTTTTCTGACATGTTTAAAATTGGATATATCATTTAGATTTTTCACTCTCTTCCACCACTCCTCCAGTACTTCTTTCCTCTTCCTCAGTTAATCTCCTTCCCAATTAGCACTGATTTTCGTTCTCAAGTTTCTGCTGTTCTTTAGGACACGGAATCCCATTCCATCTTAACTTTGAATTTTCTTGTAGAAAGCAGATATAGACACTATGATGGACATTGATGGGAATAACTTTAATATCAGGGCTTGCTCCGAGACCTTCAAACAAACAGATTTTTATTCTATGCAAATATAGGATTTTAAATGTTTTACCTGCAGAACAACAACTATCCAGGTCAGTTTGTTATATCCCTGAAAAAATCCATTCTTTGATACTAATTCTCCATCATAAATGTAAACACCCATTAATCCGAATATGCTCCCAAAAGAACCTTAAAAAGTTAAGAGAAAAGTCCAATCACTTGTTTTGTACTGCTTTGATACCAACCTGTCATAAAACTAAACGTTTATTTTTTCCTTTTTCATGATATTAGATGACTGTTAACAAAATACAGCAATTTTCAATTCAGTTCAACCAGCATTTATTGAGCACTTACTAAGTGCAAGGTACTTGGTATACAAAGACAAAATAAGCCCAAGTTAGGTGGTAGATAATATAAAGATCTCAGTCTTATCAAGATACCTGCTGCTTATCTCCTTCAAAAATAAGTACAAGATCAATCTTAGAAGCTCTGTGAAGCATGAAAGCTATTTACTCTCTGTTGAGATCAACATCTAATAAAATCTAGGGACAGAACTAATGAATGAGAGGCTAAAAGTAGCCCAAACTATCTAGAAAGTTCATTGGTAAAAGGCACACAGCCAGAGAGCACAAGGTTAAAACTTAACTCCAGTGTAAGACCATAATTAACCCTGAAGCACTCAGGGAATGAATTTGGAAAGGGCTATGAAATTCATCCATTTGTGACAATCTTGTCTCTGAGAGCTTTGTTAATGTCTAGATTACAACAGGAAAACCACTGGAATGTCATGCAAAATCAGAGTTAGCTAAATGGATGAAAAAAAAAAAAGCATGCCATCTATTTTCTCAACTTTGGAAAAGCTGCCACGAAGAGTACCTTACCATTTAAAAAATAATTAAGAGAACCAATGGGCCAGACTAGGGAACCTATCTGAGCTTCAGTTTCCTGAATTGCAAGGAATGACTTCTGATCAATTTTTGCAATAATATCTAAGACAAACTTGAAAACCTTAACATATATCTAAGGAAATCTTAACTATTCATTTATTTGTTTTGAGAATGAATATTCTCTCTTCAAGAATACAATTCAACACACATCTTATAATATGCAAGATGCAATGCTAGGTGGTGACAACAAAAAGAAAAAATATTAATGATCCTTGTCCTCAAGTAATTTACATTTTAAAGGATGCAACATGCACACAAATATAATGCAAGGTAATTTGAGAAGAGAGAAAAATCATAACTAGAAGGATAATGAAAGGTTTCATGAAGGAGGTAGTACATGGAATACAATATATCCTCATGAATTGTTGGGGGCAAAAATACATTCCAAGCATGGAAAGCAGGCTGGACAAATACACAACAGCAGGAAACGGAATGTCAAGTTCAGCTTAGCAATCCAATTTGGCTGGCATGTAGAATTTATGATGTGGAAAAGTAAAAAATAATGTCTAAAAAGGGAGACTGGAGGCAAAATGTGGATGACTTTAAATGCTACACTGAGTAATTTATATTTTATCCTAGAAGCAATGGAAAACCACTGAGTAGGAGTAACATGGTGAGACCTGGGGCTTTGACATCTATGTAGAAAATGGACTGGAGGAAAAATACTGGAAGAACAGAGACCAACTGAAAAGTTACAACAACAGTGAAAGAAAGAAAGGCTAAAAGACCAAACTAGAATTGGAAAAGTGCTGGATATGGGAGGCAAGAGAAGAGGAAAAATGATGATTGACTGCAAAATTGTGAATCTGGGTGATGAGAAAGACAGTGCCCCCTCCACAGAAGTAGGAAAATCTGAAAAGGGGACAAAGGCACAACAGACAGAGATGATGAATTTTCATTTGGATATGTTCAGTCTGAATCACCAATGGGGCATCCAGATCAAATGCCCCAGGTCAGGAGTTCAGGAAAGAGATGAGGGTGGGATGTAAAACCAGACCCTTCCTTTCTAAGCATTTTTGCTTTCTGAAGCTGGAATTTGTCTTACTTTTCCTATAAATCTAACTGTTCCTTAACAACCTTTCATTTTTTCTTATTTAATATTTTGTTTTTTTTCCAATTACATGTAAAAACAATTTTAACATTCTTCCACCTCCCCCCAAATTTTGAGTACCAGAATTTTTCCTCCCTCCCTACCTCACTGAGAAGGCAATTTGACATAGGTTATACATGTGTAGTCATGCAAAACACATTTCCATGTAAGTCATTCTGTGAAAGAAAACACAGACAAAAAAAAAAAGTAAAGAAAAAGTATGCTTGATCTGCATTCAGACTCTACCAGTTCTTTCTCTGGAGATGGACAGCACCTTTCATCATAAGTCCTACAGAATTGTTTTGGATCATTGTATTGCTGAGAATAGCAAAGTTATAGTAGATCATCATACAATATTACTGTGTACAATGTTCTGCTCATTTCACTTAGTATCAGTTCATGTAAGTCTTTCCATGTTTTTTTTTTTCTGAGAGCAGCCTGCTCATCATTTCTTAAAGCACAATAATAATATTCCATCGCAATCATATCCATCAACTTGTTCAGTCATTCCCTAAGTGATGGACATCCTCTCAATTTCCAATTGTTTGCCACCACAAAAAGAGCTGCTGCAAACATTTTCGTACACACAGGTCCTTTTCCTTTTTGTTTTTTATCTCTTTGGGATATAGATCTAGTAGTAGCATTGCTTGGTCAATGCATGGAACAACCCTTCATTAAAAAAAGAACAAACAAAAAAAACTTGCTTCCAGTTTCACAGCTCCTCAGAACTTGTCCTCTACAAGGGTCAAAGTACTTTGAAAAATAAGTATAAGGTTTTTTAAACAAAGATTAAAAGTAGTTTTATCATATTACTTAACTTCTAACTACTTTCTTCTTTAAGCATTTCATCCCTCCAGGGCAAAAGTAATCTACAAACCTTAAAAGGATGATTCTTTGCATGTCAACATCTGAAATATAAGGCACACTATATTTCTTACAAAATGTACTGTCTAAAGAAAAAAAAAGATAGAACAAGGGGAAAAGGAGATAGGTAGAGAAAAGGGAGGGAAAGAGAAAAGGAGAGAGAGCTTTCCTTATAACATGGTATGTTAATTTTAAAATACACTGTGAAATTGTAGCTAATTGGTTCTGGAAGAAAATATGTCAGTTGAAACATTAACACATGCAGTTAGTTCCATAGAAATAGTGTCATAAATGGGTAATTGGTTCTAGAACACTACACTGGGATATCAAGACTTTATGATGCAGCTCAGTGATGAAACATAAAAATTACTGCAAAATTATGCTGGCCAGGAAATCTTTTGCTAGATATGCTTATGTATTTTTGTAGACAGTGATTCTTTGCATATAATATAATTACTTTCTCAAAAGCACATTAAAAATGTACACTAAAGACTTACCAAGTTGAATATTTCTAATCCACACAGATTGCTTGGTTTCTTTTAAAATTTTCTCAAAATAAACTCCTGCAAAGCCACTTGAAAAACAAGCTGTAAGAACTGCCATCAGACCTACAAACTGAGAGCCTGCTGAGAGTTCCTTAGAAGACGATTCTTGAGAATCTGAGGGCCACTAAACAAAATCAGAAAGAATTTTGAGGTTAAACGTGTGTGGTATTTTTCATACTTAAACTCTTAAGTCCTAAGATACAAATTCAATATCATTCCTCAAAGTCCAAAAATAGTGTAAAAATAAATTCAAGTTCTATGTAAACTTGATTTCAGGTTTCATCTCTCTTATGTAGCCCAGGCTACTACCTTAGGGAGCAACTAGGTGGCACAGAGTGCTAGGTTTGAAGTTGGCAAGATTCATCTTCCTGAGTTCAAATCTGACCTCAGGCAATTACTAGCTCTGTGATCCTAGGCAACTCATTGAAACTTGTTTGCCTCTGTTTCCTCATCTGTAAAATGAGCTGGAGAAGGAAATGGCAAACCACTCTAGAATCTTTGTCAAGAAAACCCAAATGAGGTCGTGAAGACTCGGACATGAATGAAATAACTGAACGACATCAACACTACCTTGAAATTCTCAATAACTTCCATTACACTTGATCCATCTATGCCCAGTATCTATTGTTTCATCTCTCTCCTCCGTCTTATGGAACTTCTGGAGAAGGCCATCTACAATCAGTACCTCCACTTCCCATTCTCTTCTTAACTCTATAGTCTAGCTTCTGAACTCATCATTCAACTGAAACTTCTTTCTTCCAAGTTGCTAATGCAATTGCCAAAATCATGGCCTTTTTCTCACTTGTCATGCTTCTTGACCTCTCTGCAGCTTTAGACATTGCTTTAGATATTTAGACATTGACGGTTCCTTCTCTCTAGGTTTTTGTTACACTATTCTCTCTTAGTTTTCCTCTTACTTAATCTGAACATTCCTTCTTAGTCACCTTTGCTGAAACTCCGATCAGGTCATGCTCACTTACCATAGGTATCCGCCCGGACACTGTCCTAGGCCCTCTTCTCTTCTCCCTCTATACTACTTAATTTGGTGAGCTCATCAACTCCCATACTGATGATTCTCAAATTACTTATCCTAATTTCTCTGCTAACCTCTGGTATTAAATCTCCAACTGCCTATCAGTCATCTCGAACTGGAGGTCCTATAGACACTTTAAACTCATCATGTTCAAAACTAAATTCATTTTTCCCCAAATGCTCTCTTCTTCCAAACTTCCCTATTATTGTCAAGTCAATCAGTCAATAAACATTAAGTGACTACTATGTGCCAGGCACTTCGCTAAGCTCTGGGGATATAAGAAAAGGCCCTCAAAAAGCTCATTAATGAAGGAGACAACAAACAAATACAGGCAAAACAAGCTATATACAGAATAAATAGGGAGTAATTAAGAAAGAGAAGGCACTAGAATTAAGAGGAGTTAGAAAGGCTTCCTATAGAAACCTGTTGAGGACACCACCATCTTCCTAGTAACCCAGGTTCAAAAACTAGGTGTCATCCACAACTCCTCACTCTCTCTCTCCCCCATATCCGATCTGTTGACAAGGCCTGTCTATTTTACTCTTGTAATATCTTTTACATACGCTCCTTTGTCTCCTCTGACACTGCCACCCTGGTGCAGGCCCTCATCATCTCACATCTGGATTATTCCAATAGCATGTTAGTTGGTCTTCTACTAGACAAGTTTCTCCTGACACCAGGCCATTCTTTACTCAGCTGTCAAAATGATCTAAAGCACAGGTCTGACAATGTTATCTTCCTATTCGATAAATACCAGTGGCTTCCTATCTCTTCTAGAATCAAATATAAAATCCTGTTTGTATTTAAATCCCTTCATAACTTAGCCTCGCTCCCCATGCCCACCTTTCTAATTTTCTTATATATTTTTATTCCTCCTCTACATACTCCCCGATCCAGTGACACTGGCCTCCTTACTGTTCCTTGAACAAGATACTCTATCTCCTAATCTAAGGCATTTCTACTAGCTATCTCCCATGCCTGGAATGATCTGCTTCCTGGCTTCTTTCAAGTCCTAGCTAGTCTCCTTTTCTACAGGAAGCCCTTTCCAATCCCTCTTTATTATGGTGCCTTCCCTCTGTTGATTATTTCTGATTTATTCTGCATATAGCTTGCTTGTACATAGTAGTTTGTATGCTGTCTTCCCCATTAGACTGCGAGCTCCTTGAAAATAGGAACTGTCTTTTACCTTTCTTTCCATTTTCTGCACTTAATGCAGTGCCTGGCACATGAAATTTCTTTTTTAAATCTGTCACCCCAGATGATCATGTTAGATCAGAGTGAGTGAAAACTGTATGAATCTGATAACAACAGATGTGGCTTAATGCTTACAATATCCCTTACTGAATTTCATCATCATTTCTTCCTTACAATATTCCTCACTGTCTCTCAACTACCTGAGTCAATGCAGAAATGAACATGGAAGAACTGCAGAATTCCAAGGACAACAGAAGGAAGCCAGTGACAGCAGAACCCAAAACAGTGACAGGAAAGATAGCAGTGTGGAATAGGAGAAGTAATGAGAGATGCTAGAGACAAAGAATACAAGTTGGACATACGAGGCTATCATGCTAAGTACAACAGCTTGGCATACACAACGTGGCATGTATGTTACATCTGACTTACTGCAGAGGTCTCCTCTAATCCTATTACTTGTCCTATTTTATTTTCACTAACTCATTACATACTCTCTAAACTGAAATTCTTTCTGATTTCCCTACTTCCATTATCGTCATCAATATTTTCCTGGTTTCAAAACCTAGGGACATCTTTTGCTTTCATCAGGGCCTATTACCTTATATGTAGGTCTGTGCATGTTACCTGCCTTTTCAATAAACCCCAGTGGCTTCCTATCACCTCTAGGATCAAATATAAACTCTTCTGTTTGGCATTCAAAGCCCATCATAACCTAGTTATTTACACACATACACACCCCTCCTAGTTTTCTTACATCTCAAGGCTACTCATTTAAGATGTTATATCTTTTTTTTTTTAAGTCAGTCATCATAGATGATCAGACCAAAGTGACATCCTCCATATCCAAAATAGCCACTAAGTTCTGTCAATTCTTCCTTCATCATATGTCATTACCATTTCTTCTTTTCAATTCTCATTACCACCACCCTTGTTCAACCACTTATCACATTACACCTGGAAATTCCAGCCACCTATTAATTGGCTTCTCTGTTTTAATCCACATAGAATACCACTATCATATTAATTTTGTTAAAACCCCACTCAGAGCATGCCACTCCTTGGTCAAAGTATTCAATTATCCATCCTATGGTTCTGTATTGCCTATAAAATCTAAATCCTTATAGAGGCGTTCAAAGTCCTCAACAAGCTGACCCCAACCTATATTTTCCACCTTTATTTCCCATTATTTCTCAACACTGATCTTCTGCTACAGCCAAACTTATTTACCCATTATCTCTTGTAGTTTCCTGTCTATATGCCTTTATTCACACCAATACCTCTTCCTGCAATGTCCTCCTCTCCTTTCCAACTGTAAAAACTCTACCTATGTCAAATTACCTATCCTTCATGAACCCTGAACATACTAGTCAAAAATGACTTCCTCTGAATTCCAATAGCACTTACTATCTGAACCACTCATTTAAAAGTAGAAAAAAACACTTATTAAGCTCTTACCTCATATTAGAAATTTATCACATATGATATCTCTTCTATTCTATCTCAAACTGATATGTCTTTGATTGCTTGATTGCTACTTAACTTTTTTATACATTTAGGACTTTTCTTCCCAACTACATCCTCTGCTACTTGCTACCTATTTGACCTCAGGCAAGTCATAAACTCTGTGATTCAGTTTCTTCACTTACAAAATGAGGGGGCTAGGTTATATTATTTCCAAGACTTTTTTTTTTTGCTTTAAATCTATGGTTCTGTGAAGTAGGTTGTAATAATCTTAAGGACAAGAAATGTACTTTAAATTTCTATATATCTTCCACAATATTATGTAGGACATAAGCATATATGACCAATGATTCAGGATTAAAGGATCACAGACATGAATTAAAGTCTTAATTCTTAAGTCCTTTCCAGCATTTGCCTATGTACTACACAACATTGTGGAACACATCATCCTTTGATACTCACACTACATTAGTACCCTCTGCCCCTATGACACCTCCAAATGGAGAGCAGAAACCTTCTCCCAGAACCTATAAAAGGAAGGAGCCCAGCCTAGCCATCTCTTTATTTCCCACCCAGCTGTGCACCTATGGACTTCTCCATCGTGTGTCCCACCTCCAGGTACCTTTCCTTCTCCCTATGCCCTTTTTGTGTTGTCTTCCCCCATTAGATTATAAGGTCCTTGAGGGCAGGGGCTGTCATTTTTGTATTTGTATCTCTAGCACTTAGCATAGCACCTGGCACATGGTAGGCACTTAATAAATGTTTATTGACTGAGTATGCAGAAGTTTAAAGCACACTTGTTCTCAAGAATCTCAAAGTCTTATGGGTAGTTAGGTGGTGCAGTACATAGAGCCCTTGCCCTGAAATCAGGAGGACCTGAGTTCAAATCTGGCCTTAGACACTTATCAGTTGTGTGACACTGGGCAAATCACTTAACTCCAATTGCCTCCAAAAAAAAAATCTTATGATCTAGTTCATAAGATCAAATATTTAGACATGAAAGTGATCATATAAATCATTTAATTCAATCCCCTCATTTACAGGTGAAGAAATTGAAGCTCAGAGAAGTTAAGTGATCTGCCTAAAGTTATACCCATCAAAAGTAATGTTCAATACATATTTGATTTGATGTAATGGGTAGTCACATAAACAAATAAAGATGACATAGTATTCATTCACAACAATTATTTTTTAAAACTACAATGAACACGGAAGATAAACTTATCTTGAATAATTTACCTGTACAAAAGTGACACCTGCCATTAAAATCACTAGAGAGAGCCACTGGTACAAACCTAATTTTTTACTAAGCATGGACACAGAAAACAGTGCTGTTGTAAGAATTTTTAATTGATAAGTAACCTGGAAAAAAAAAGAGAACAGGTATTATTATTATTGTTATTATTATTATTGTTATTGTTATAGTCACTTTTTAAAAGCACTATAAGAAAATTTTTTTCTCAAGTACCTGATAAGTGGCTGCATCTAGATTTGATAATGCTACATAGAGTAAATTATTCTGAAGAGTATATATTCCTGATGGAATAGCAAGTTTAAGTGTTTCCATAGGCTTGTTTAGAATTTCATCATGTAACACTCTATTCAATGCTCGAAGACTGCATTCTAGGGGGAAAAAACACATAAAAAAAGACCAACATAAGTAAATAGCTTCACTCACAGCAAGTCACAACCTCTCATGGTTTTAGTTTTCTGATTTTGCCCCAGGGCCATCTCCAGCCAAGACCCTGACACCTGTCTTCTGGGTCTGGCTCATCTTCAACATTGGGTGCTGCTAGGATAAGACCCACCACCTACTTCCTGGCTTTTGTAGCCTACCAAGCTTTCTCCAGTGCCACCTTGACCTGGGACAAGAACCTCCTCCCCATCTACCATCCTCTAGGACCTTTTCTAAATCTGACTTGGAACCAACAGCTCCCAAATAGATTCCCACATGTCCTTTCTGCTCCTGCCTGCCTTGAGGTGGGCCTCAATACACAGAACACATCACCACCTGCCACAAGGCTGGATCTGGCAGGAGAACCCTGAACAACCTAACCACATACTTCACTTAATGGATCTCTCTCTAACCACTGACATTCTGCCTAGTTTCATTCCTCAATGGTTAGCATACTCCAACCCCCTCACACTTTCCTCATTCTAGTGATTCTGAGCTGCCAACATACAAAATTTTTTCCCTCACCCCCAACTGCTTATTCCCTTACTCACATTCACTTCAAACCTATCCTCTCCCCCCCACCCAGTATTCCACTTAAATATCCTCACTCCTTCCACTGTGCCCTATAGAATGCCTACTCCATAATAACAAACTTACTTTCATCTTAAACTTTGTTTCTCACTCTTACCTTCTGGCACTCACTTGAGACCTAGTTACCTCCTCATGACACTGATTCCTTAGTCACTCTTTCTATAGCCACTGGCTATACCTTCTTTTATACTCAACTCACTAATTGTAGTGAAGGAGTTAGAATACTTCTTCCTCCCCACTGCTATGTGCAGACTTTCCATCTATAATCCACTACCATCATTCAGCAGATGATCACAGTGTACAAATTTATCAGTCAGTCTTGATTTTAGTGGCTTCTAAGACATTCTCCTTCTTTCCTCAATGAGTTCAGTGTCTGGCTAACAGCTTTCTATTCTAACTCCTGCCCTGAAACTAAAGGGATCTCAACACACCTATTTATGCTCTCTTAAATATTCTAACTTCCAAGCTTCTCAATCTACTCAATTCCCATGACTTATTCCTCTATTCTACCTTAGCTACACACACAGAACATGGCCATGCCCTTAATTTTGCCACTATCCATAAGTGTTTCAATTCCATGTCAAAAATTCCAAAATTCCTTTATCAGATTCATAACCTTTCATCATTCTACCTTTCCCTTTGTCTTATGACCCCATAGCCCTGTTCTTAAGTCTTCAGTACCTCCATTTCCTCTACCCTTCAGTTTTTTCCAGGCTACAGGTGTTAGCTACAGGTGTACAGCTAGCTAACTGCAGGTGACCCTCTGCGCTTCCTTCCTTATCTTGACTCTTTTGTGAAAAAAATGAACCTTATATTATTCTCTTTTCTCAGGTCCCATTTTTTCTCATCAACAATCAAGCCCTGACAAATCCCAATCAAGGATTACACCTGCTCTCTGTCTCCAGGGCACACTTATGTCATCTAATCTCAACTGGGTCCTCAAGCAATAAGGCAACTATTCTACTCCTCCCAAATCTTGTTTGCTATTTGCTCTCCTCAGCAACAGTTCCAAATCTCTTTTCAAGCTGCCCAATGCACTCTTCCTTCAACCTTGTCATCTGACAGCCTCATCTCATACTTCACCTAAATATCTAGGACAATTTCTGAGAGTTCCTCTTTCTTCCCTCCCCATCCTCATCCTCATCCCGAGTGTATCACTCAGACATCTCCCCCCACTGTCTCCTCCTTTACTCTGATCTCTGATATGAGGTGGCCCTTCTCTTTGCTAAGACCAAGTCATCTACATGCATCTACATGTATTCCCTAGGGTCTTCTCCAGCAGACCATCAACTCTGTCCATGCTGCTTATTGATAAACCCTTGTCTCTTAAATCTGTATAAAGAAAAAAGGAAAGGAAAAAACCCCCACTATCTGTTCTATATCCTTCCTGCCTTTCACATCTAAAACTTCTTGAGAAGGTTATCTATATTCGCTAGGTATCTTCACTTCTTTTCCTCTAAACCACCTGCAATTTGGCTTTCGACCTCATTATTCAACAGAAATTACTCTCTACAAAATTACAAATGATCTTTTAATTGTGCAACCTAAGCTTTTTCTAAATCCTCATTCTTCTTGATCTCTCTCCAGCATCTGCCCACCTTGTCCTTCTAGATAATTTCTCCTTTCTTGAGTCTTCATGACACTTCCCTCTCCTTGTTCTCCTATCAGTCTGCCATTTCCTTCTTTATCTCTTTTGCTGGCTTTTCATCCATATCTTGGCTAATAACCATGAGTGTCTCCCAAATCTCTCTCTGAGGCTATCTTCAATTTTCCCTCTCTACTATGGGTCAACAACCATATCCGTGTCCCATATCCATGGGATAAATCCAACCTGCCACTTGTTTGTGCACAGGCAGTGGGCTAAGAATGATTTTATATTTTTAAGTAAAATGAAACCTTATTTAATGATCTAAAAACCACTCATAGTTCACTGGCCATACAAAAACAGGCAAGGGACCAGATTTTTGACCTGAAGGCCATAGGGCGCAGAACCCTGCTGTATATTATCTCACTTGGTGATCTCATCATCTCCCAAGGTTCAATTAACATCTCTACGTAAGTGATTCACAGCTCTATATATTTAGCCTTAGACTCCCCCAACAGTTTACCATCATCAGCTGCCTTTTGGAGTTCTTGAAAAGTATGACCTAAAGGCACCTCAATCTTAACCCGTCCAGAAGAAAACATATTATCTTTCCCCTAAAATCCTTCACTCTTTTGAACTTTAACTTTTTCTTATTATTGTTGATAGCACCACCATTCTTTGAGTCATCCAGGTTTAAAACCTCAGTATTATCCTCAACTCCTCCCTCTTATACACCCCACACATACAATTTGTTGTCAGATTTTCCCGTTTCTACCTTCACAACATCTCTCTTAAACATCCCTTCCTCTCCACTCATATAACTGCTACCCTCATCACCCACTCACCTGGACTACTGCAATAGCCTTCTAATGGTCTTAAAGTCTCTCACCACTCTAATCCACCCTCTACTAAACTGCCAAAGTGTTTTTTCTAAAGAATAGATCTGACCATGTCAATGCCTTACTCAATAAATTTTAGAGTCTCAATACCTCCAGAATCAAAGCATTCTGTTTGGCATTTAAAAGACTTCGTAACTTGGCCTCTTCCTACAGTTTCAGTCTTCTTTCACTTTACTCCCTTCCACATTCCCTACAATACTGTCCGAGTTGCCTTTTTTCCTGTTCCTTAAACTAAATTCATTTGCTGATTTTGTGCCTTTAAATTGGCTGGCCCCCCATGCCTGGAGTGCTCTCTCTCATCACTATCCCTCTGCTTCCCTGGCTTCCTTCAACACTTCCTACTTTCTGCAGGGGGTCTGTCCTGGCCTTCTACTTCCTTATGCCTCCCAGCAGAGATTACCTTCCTTATACTTTGCATATATCTTGCAGGTACCTATTTAATATATTAAATGTAACTTCTTTGAGGGCAGAGACTGATTTTTGCTTTTCTTTTTATCTCCAGCTCTTAGCATAGTGCCTGGCACACAGTAAGTGCTTAATAAATTGTCTTCTGACTGTTAAGTTTTGCAATTTTATTCAATTCAATCTAATTTAACAAACACTTATTAAGTCCCCAGTACATGCACAGAAAAATAAAAAACGAGGGACCTCTGTTTTCAAGGGGATATAACAAGTGATAAAAGAAAAGAAGAGATCCAAACATATAATTTAGGAATATTTGAAGAGGAAAAAAAATTTCAGTTGGTTGGGGGGGGGTTGGAAGGGAGGAAATCACAGAATACACTGAGGAAGAGTAGCACCTAAATTAAGCTCTACAGCAGCACTTCTTAAACAGTGGGTTGCGACCCCACGGCAACAGTAAAAGGTTTCTGAACGTGCAATGACCAATTAATTCAAACTCAAACGCATAATGAATCTGAGGTGTTTCGGGCAACGCTTGCCTGTGTTGCATTGCACAATTCCACCGCAGCCTTGGTTCTGCACTATGCATGTCCTCAGGTCACACAACCAAACTGCAAAATGAGTGGAAAAAGTTTAAGCTCTGCAAAAGGAAGAAAATAAGTGTGAAACATAAGAGAAGTGAATGCATTCCAGGTATAGGGGTGGTTTATGTGAATGCATGACAGCAGGAGATGACAGGTTGAGTTCAAAGAACAGCAAGAAATCCAGTTTATGTAAAATGTAAGAAGGGTAGCAATGGGAAATAAAGTTGGAAAAGTATGAATTAAATATCAGGTTAAGGAGTTTGTATTTTATCTTCTAGGCAATAGGAAGACACCAAAGGGTTTTGACCAGGGAAGTTATATGAAACTACATACTAGAAAAATATTTTATTAATAAGCTGAAAAACAAATTAGAGAGTACAGGGATTTGTATCAGAGAGATTAAGAAGCTATTACAGCAGGCTAAGTGAGAGGGTAATAAAGGACCTGAACTAGGGTGGTGGAGGTGACAGGAAAAAGCCTGATTCCAGAGATCAATCAATCAACAAGCATTTATTAAATACCTATTATGTATGGTGCACTGTGTAAGAGGAAGAATCAACAGGACTCAAGACTGGATTAGATCTGGGAAGCAAGGAACAAAGAAAAGCCACAAATGACTTTGAGTTTTTAAGCCTCGGAGATTGGGACAATGGAAGTGGCATCAAAAGAAATACATTAGTTGTGAGGACAGGCATGTTTAGGGACGAAGGTCATCAGTTTTTGGTTTTGGACGTGTTCACTGTGATCTGAACACAACTCTTTTTTTTTGGTTGTTGTTTGTTTTTGTCTTTTTTTCTTTGGCTAGGCAATGGGGTTAAGTGACTTGCACAGGGTCGCACAGCTAGTAAGTGTCAAGTGTCTAAGGCAGCATTTGAATTAAGGTCCTA